ACATGTATAGTGACAAGAATGTGATTCTGTAGATGGCATGTATAGTGACAAGAATGTGATTCTGTAGATGGCATATACAGTGACAAGAAAGTGATTCTGTATTGGCATATACAGTGACAAGAAAGTGATTCTGTAGATGGCATGTACAGTGACAAGAAGGTGATTATGTAGATGGCATGTACAGAGACAAGAAAGTGATTCTGTAGATGGCATGTACAGTGACAAGAAGGTGATTATGTATATGGCATGTACAGTGACAAGAAAGTGATTCTGTAGCTGGCATATACAGTGACAAGAAAGTGATTCTATAGATGGCATATACAGTGACAAGAAAGTGATTCTATAGATGGCATATACAGTGACAAGAAAGTGATTCTGTAGATGGCATTTACTGTGACAAGAAAGTGATTCTGTGGATGGCATATACAGTGACAAGAAAGTGATTCTGTAGATGGCATTTACTGTGACAAGAAAGTGATTCTGTGGATGGCATATACAGTGACAAGAAAGTAATTCTGTAGATGACATATACAGTGACAAGAAAGTGATTCTATAGATGGCATATACAGTGACAAGAAAGTGATTCTGTAGATGGCATTTACTGTGACAAGAAAGTAATTCTGTAGATGACATATACAGTGACAAGAAAGTGATTCTGTAGATGAAATATACAGTGACAAGAAAGAGATTCTGTAGATGGCATGTACAGTGACAAGAAAGAGATTCTGTAGATGGCATGTACAGTGACAAGAAGGTGATTATGTAGATGGCATGTACAGTGACAAGAAAGAGATTCTGTAGATGAAATATACAGTGACAAGAAAGTGATTCTGTAGATGGCATGTACAGTGACAAGAAAGAGATTCTGTAGATGGCATATACAGTGACAAGAAAGAGATTCTGTAGATGGCATGTACAGTGACAAGAAGGTGATTATGTAGATGGCATGTACAGTGACAAGAAAGAGATTCTGTAGATGGCATGTACAGTGACAAGAAAGAGATTCTGTAGATGGCATGTACAGTGACAAGAAGGTGATTATGTAGATGGCATGTACAGTGACAAGAAAGTGATTCTATAGATGGCACATACCGTGACAAGAAAGTGATTCTGTAGATGACATATACAGTGACAAGAAAGTGATTCTGTAGATGGCATATACAGTAACAAGAAAGTGATTCTGTATAAGTCATATGTCACTCTGTATGGATTGATTGTTTCACCCAATGAATTGTATTTTACAGATAGTACTAAACACAAGCAATAAATAAACATATTGTATGTACCTAATAGAGGTGAATATAATTCTTAAGCCCATTGAGTCGTGTTGATGATCGTTTAACCACTCAGTGTTGACAGACTCATATTCTAATAATGTATGTTCACTGTTATATGTTGTACCATCCAACTCGTATATCTGAAAAAATCAATCATTACAACGATATTGAATGATATCTTTTTAAGGATGTTATCAAAAGGTTGGTGCTACAGCTAAGTTTAGAGAGATAATAAAATTATTGTCCAGCCCTGTTAGTATATTATTTACAGAAAGTGTACACTATTGGTCAATTAATTCATATTTTTGTACACCATAGCCATGTCAGACAATAAGGTTGGCGCCAAATAACAAAACCATACGCTCTGGACGGTGGTCATCACACTGCGTATTTGGGTAATACTGATGCTTGGATTTTGCACGGCATATGCTGACGTTGTGTATACTATGTTTATTGGAGCTATATTCAATTGTTAATTTCACCTGAAACATGTTGTTTTATTGCGTTTTATTTTAGTATCAGAGACCCAATGTATTTCTGTTTGAGCGTGCTCTCTACCGAAATGTCAGACAGTCAATCCTATTTTGTTTACCAATATCATAATTGGGAAAGTAATTAAGAAGGGATTATGGAAAATAAAATTACAAACCTACAATTAAGTGTATGATGAATAACTAGTGCACTTTATAACGGCGGTTGTAACCGTCAGCGACAGACTCGGGAACAATCTTAACATTGCATTCTCATTTTACATGTGACCTACTATCTACTGACCAATATTAAACCAATGTTAAAGCGCGGTGGTCGCCACGCAGCGCGTGTTCGAATTTCATGTAAATAAACAATGTATTTTACACGCGTTGTGTACGTCGCTATGAGTCCCATATCGAACAGGACGCGGTGCGACGACCACCGCCCTTTAAGATTGGTGATGGAAACAAATAATTTAAGCTTGTCTCTTAAACCAGGCTAGATCTGTAAACGATAGGATACTATCACTGTTTGTTATTAAAGATCACTTACAATGTGTGTTTTTCTGTTATTATTATGTCATATGCTTTAGCTATAACAACGTAATTTGAACACATTTAATGTTTTAGCTTGTTCTTTTAATAATGTTTCACATACTGGTATATGTAAAGTGGGAAAGTTTAATAGCGAGTGGAATATAAACTCACAGGTTGCAATAGCGCCCTCACTTCCATAAATTGTATTCCATCGTCATAAAATTCTTGCAGACCTTGACGGAAGTAATCCTTAAATACATCTGCGTAGTACACAAGTCCATCTACAGCAGCAAAGTAATCGTTGAAATAATCCCACACGATTTGCTGGTTGGGGTATGCAGTATGGGGGTCGTCTGTTATCATACTAATTTCATCGTACAACCTGTAATAAAACATTCGGCTTTCGTTTATTGTCTGTGAATAAGGGGAAACCTTACTGACTGATTGAATAACCCGCAATAATACACACATTTGAAATATGTCTACGATTGTTATAATCATTTATTAATACGATTAATATCGATTTTTTTTGTCAAACTCATAGAAGATGTTCCCAATATATATGTCATGAACATATACTATGGATTCGGTATTTCCAAAACAAACATTATTAGTTGCTCAATCATTGTAAGCGCCATTTCTTAGTTAATAGCAAACGTTACAGAATATTGTTTGTGGTTTTCTAATGTACTGTATCGAGTACACATATTTTCTTAACAGTTAACTGTGTCAAATATACTATC